CTAATATGTAATGCACCCTCAACAAATATTTTGTGAATAAATAAATGCATGAATTAACTGTCTTGTGAGTAGAAAGTTTGGGAGGTTAAACCTGATCCTGGGAATCCAGAAACTAAAATTGAATGATGCATCTGTAGTCACTGTGGGTGTGGAGTCTTAGTCTCTCTGAAATAATAGTTAAGAGGTAGTGAAGGGGTGGGGAGCCAGAGTATGTAGAAGGATACACGATAATTTGATGGTAGGAGATTTCACATTTTCTGATGAAACAGGTACAAACACCCCAGACTCCTAACTCACTCACCTACTCTTCTCCAACTTAGAACTCAGAACAGAAGAAACTGAAACGAAGACGTACTGCCTGCGAGAAAGAAAGGATTGTACATACGAAGAGGTCGATGAGCCTCAGGATGATGACATCCTGTGTAAGTGACCCTTTTGGCCCACTCATGGAGAAGGCCATGTCCTGGTACAATAATTTCATCTTGTCGTTTGACCCCAAGTCATTCCTTTACTCTGGTGGCTTGGAGTACAGGACTGAGGCTAAATTACGTAAGTGCTGGGCTCTTTCTGAAGCTCTTCATATCCAGGAACACGCACTATACTTTTCCTAATCCCTGCTGCTCTCGCCTCCAGATTGTGAGAAATGCCAGGAGATCTTCATCGACAGCTGTCCGGCTCATGGACCCCCTACATTTGTAAAAGACAATGCAGTAGCCAAGGGGCATCCCAACCGTTCAGCCCTCACTTTGCCCCCTGGGCTGAGAATCGGGCCATCGGGCATCCCTGAGGCCGGGCTTGGAGTATGGAATGAGGCATCTGATTTGCCGTTGGGTCTGCACTTCGGCCCCTATGAGGGCCGGATCACAAAAGATGAAGAGGCAGCCAACAGTGGATACTCCTGGCAGGTGAGAAGGGCCAATCTTACCCCATCTTCTGGCTTCCTATATCCCTTCTGTGCCTTTGGTGGGACACCCCCTTCTACATGCTAGAACATGGATAGTGACAACATGGTTAGCTCTGTGTACTCAGTGGTCTTTGCGTGAACATGGAACTCCTATTTAAAGGTCAGAGGGTGAGTGGGAGAAAAGTGGCAGAGAGACAAAAAAGTGCATTCTCCCTGTGGGGCCTCAGCTCTGACTGGACAAATCAACTCAGACGTGTGGATGATGCCGAGGAGCACAGCATGTGTCACCATTGGCGGCTGAATCCATGCAGGCTCAAATGCATGGAGGACAGTAGAATAAAATAATTCTTCTGATTATTATCCGCCCCTCAACCCCCCAAAAGACTAACTTATTTTTCTGAAACTCAGATCACCAAGGGGAGAAACTGCTATGAGTATGTGGATGGAAAGGACAAATCTCGGGCCAACTGGATGAGGTAAGGCCAATAGGTTTTGGGTTCCAGCAGGGACACTCATCTCTCTCAAGCTCAGCTCTTTCCTTCTCAGCATGCCTCCCTCAATGGTTTTTACACTCTCTGCTCCCCTTACAATGTTCTTTCATATTNGACAACCTAAAACAAGGGACCTCTAATCTGTGAGGGCAGGCAATCTTGCCAGCTTCAGTGAAATTAAAACCTGAAGCCTGAGAAGTGAGCTGCAGGGTGGTCACGGGCCTCTGTGCTGCATGGCTCAGCCCCTTTCCATGAGGGTTCTCATTTTATTAGAGGATAAGAACATGGATATGCTGTTATTATTCTGTGTTATTATCATG